AGATGGGCCACGGAGCTTATTTTTCCTAAGCTAAGGGGCAGCTTCATTCAGGAGAAAAGAATGTTGTGAGGAAGTCTGACTGCCCTCCCCAGCTAAAGAGTGGCCACGGAGTACAGCTGGGAGCCACCAAGCCTGCTGTCTACATCCCCTTCCACTTTGCAGCAGCTTTTTAAGAGGCTGGAGGATCTTATGTGTGTACAACGCCTTGACAACCTCCCACCAACCCTGGGCCTGGCACTCTGCCTGTGACTCGAGTTACAGAACTGCGCCTCCCCTTCTATGGCTGCCCTTTGGGGCTCTTTCTTGATGTCCGTTTTATCTCTTTTCTTCTGAGGTCTGTTCCATTTCATGGGAGCAATGATGGCGCTGTGGTTCAGTAAGGCAGCTGCTAACGAAAGTTCGGTGGTCCAGGCCCACGAGCAGCATTGTGGGGGAAAGATGAGGTCTGCCTCCACAGCCTTGGAAGCCATTGTAGATGTTCCGCTTGGAATCAGCTAGAATGACAGTGGGCTTGGTCTTTTTGGTGATTCTTGATTCATGAGTTGCCTGGGATTTAAGCTGCTTTATGCAGACTTAATATTGATTTAACACAACTAGTGTGAGAACTTGCCTCCAGAAACCCTATGAATCTGGAGAAAGGATGAAAGTCACACATGCAAGTGTCAAGGATTTTCGTTCATAGGGTCGCTATGAGTCGCCTACGACTCAACGGCACTTAATAACACAGAGAGAGACCAGTTGGCCTAGTGGACCAAAAGCAATGCTACCAAGCCAAAGGTGGGTGACTCTAATCCGCGACTCTAAGGCCTGTTTTTCATAGTTTTTGGTCAAACAGTCTTCTAGGTCGTATAGCCCTGGTGTGTCCACTTGCCGGACAGAGGTAACTTGTGGTTGCTGTGAAGCTGAACACTGTGACATTGATGTGTCAAATGCCATAACGGTTACCCATGGTGGACAGTGTTTGGTGGCGCTCCCCGGTTGAAACAAGCTTGGAAGCAGGAGTCGCATCCACTTCCATAAATAGCTTGCCTCTGGAAACTGTATTAAACTGGAAAAAGGATGAAAGTCACACACGCAAGTATCGAGGACTTTCATTCATAGGGTCACTATGAGTCGCCTATGACTCGATGGCACTTAACAACAACAGTGTGAGAACAAGAAGCTCTAGTTAAGTCCATAGGCTGTTGTTTCTAATCCAAATGTAGTGTTCAGGTCGCATCAGTCACTACACAGGACAGAAATGAGCAGTCTCTTCCCTTGTGGTGTACAGCCTTGGAATCCACTAGAGAGGGTCAGCTAAAGTCAGTTCCAACTTGACAGCAGCGAGTTTTGTTTTTTAAGAAATGACTTTATTTAGACAAAGATGAGTTCTCTGTGTTCATTAAAATGGCATGTGGTAGTGTTTGCTTTGCTCTGTATAATTTTGTAGGGGAAATGAGAATTTGGTTCTAGCTGTTTTGAGGGACAGGTCCACTATGTGAGTGAGTTTGAGATAGGTGGATTGACTTACTGTAGATGAAAAAGAACAGAGAAAAACTGTGTTCTTTTGATAATCTTAAGACATCTTTTTTTTAAAAAGAAGTCATTTTAGAAGGCAGTGGCTTCTATAGAGAAGAAAGAAATCTTTTACTTTGACAAAACATTGTACTATTTAATAAGGGAGCAGCTCACTATGAAGATATTCTTTCACCTAAGTATTTAAATTATGTCCTCCTTATTACTCTTTATTAGCAGCGAGTTTTTTTGGGCATCTAACTTATGTTGTCCATTCTACCTTTTCAACCCTGCAAAGCAGTTAGTAAGTCTATCACAGCTTCGAAGAGGAGATTCCAGGGTGAAGCAAAAGATTTGTGCTCAGCAGTTCAGATCTTTCCGGTGATACCATGAAAGAAAAGGCCTGGTGACCGGTTTCTGTAAAGATTAAACAAAACCACTCACCCCATTGTTGATGAATTATTTTTGACTCATGGTGACCATCTGTCAGGTTTCTAAGGCTGTAAAACTTTGCACAAGGAGACTGCCAATATTTCTCCAGAGGAGGAGCTAATGGGTTTGAACTGCCAACCTTTGGTTAACAGTTCAAAGGGTAATGTACTATGCCACCAGTGTACCTTCTGTAACCATTACAACCAAGAAGTCCTACTCTCTAGCACATGGAGCTGCCATGGATCAGAATCACCAGGTTTGGGGGTTTCAAAAAGGAAGAAACAGATTAAATACCTGAGAGTCCAGAGCTGGAATGCAAACCCAGGCCTGCCTCAATTCCAAATTCCACTCTTCTGAAAGATTAAAACGTCACACTGACATTCAGGTGTGGCCCAGAGGCTCAGATGAGTATTGTCTTAGGCTGGGTTCTCAAAAGAAGTAAGACCAGATAAATGGAGACAGAGAGAAAGAGATTCATCTCAAGTACACACCTCGCATGGCTGTGATAGCTGCTGTTAGTGACACACAGTGACCCTGTGGGGGGTAGAACAAAATCTGCTCAGTTGTGCACTATCCTCACGGTCTTTGCTGAGCTTAAGTCCACTATTATAGTTGCTGTGTCAGTCTGTCTCACTGAGGGTCTGGAAAGTCCCAGATCCATGGCTCAGACATCAGGCTGCAGCCTTTCTTCACTTATGTGGCTGCTGGAGTGACAAGCACACAGCCAGCAAGTTAGACAAGGGCTGTTGGTCATGGGTCTAATAGGAGTTGGCGAATCCCCACTCTGGCAGGTCAGATGGCACAATATTGGCTCCCTTAGCTGCAGAAGCCAGCTATTCCCAGAAACGGCCGATGAGACAGCTAGCTGCTAGCTCAAGTCCCAAGAAGCTGAGGGCAGATGATAACGAGCCAGATGCAACATCCAGAGTAAGGGAAGCACCTTGCCAGAGCATGTATGTATGTATAAGATGCAAGTCACATCCCCAAGGCAACTCCCCTGACAGCCAAGTAACTTGTATCCAAGTAAGAGGGGGATTTGAGTGGTGAGACTTGAGTCACACTGTCTTGTAAGGCTGTGACAGAAACACCTTACAGTAGCCCTGCCTTTTTCATGTTTGCCAACCAACTCACTGCTGTTGAGTCGAACCAACTCATAACTGACCCTCTTTCGTGTTTCTGTAAACTGCACAGAAGGAGAGTGTCTTTCTCCCTCAGAGCCATTGATGCGGTTAAACCAAGAAAGGTGCAGCCTTTGGGTTAGCGGAGTGCTTCCTGTGGCATCACCAGAGATTCTCCATTAACGTGCAGAGGTGAAGATTTACTACACATAACACGGAGAGTGATTATATCAGACTACACAGTGGAAGCCAGCCACACAACACTGGGAATCACTGCCTAGCCACATCACATGAACCCTCACAGGGATTATTTATAAACCCCATGGAACAGTTTTATCATGTTCTCTATGAAATTCTCTATGAGCTGGAACAGACTGGACAGGAAAAGGTTTGCTGCCTCGATGGCGTGCAGATCCAAGCAGGAATCTGAGCCAGTGTTTGTGGGATGAGGAAGCAAATAAGGGTGAACAGGAGCAGGGCCTGTGTATAGGGCAGAGAGGACCTGGTCTCACTAGAGGAAGGGTTGAGCACTCTCTCTGCAGGAAGGTCTCCCGGGCTGGGGCCAAAACCTCTGATGGCAGAGGCTCCTGGGTTTGAATCCTAGTGCTGCTGACTCTCACCTGTATGATCCTACATGGGACCCTTCGCCCTCTTGAGTGTCAGCTTTTATAAATCAAGGATCAGAATGCCCACCTTCAGGATTATTGTGAACAGAGTTGGTATCCAGCTTGTGTGCCTGGGATGGCCCGACAGCCAGCGTCTGCTCTGATTGGCTGGCAGCTCTGCTGTACTAAGTATGTCAAATCTTACCCTTTTTTTATGAGGCTTTGAATGAGTTTAATGGCCACAGTAAGGATATCAAAATGTTGACTGCTGCTACTTTTGTCATTATCAATATCATTATCTTCCATATGGTTGTTGTTATTTGGAAGCAGGTATGGAAGAGAATCTTATTAATCATTGATTTTGTTGTTTCTGCTGTTGTTGAGAATATATACTGCAGAATATACCCAAATTCAACAACTTACACATATACAATTCAGTGACATTGATTACACTTATCAAGTTGTACAAGCATTCTCACCCAAGGAGAATCATTCCTCCTC